TCAGGTTCGAGCCCCGGCCAACCCAGAGCCTTTCTGTGCAGACTCTGCATGTTCTCCCTTTGCCTGCATGGGTTCTCTCCGGCTTCCTCCCACAGTGCAAAGACATGCAGCTTAGGTTGACTGGTGACTCTAGATTGCCCATAGGAGTGAGTGTGTGTGGTTGTTTGTCTACATATCCTCCCTGTAACAAACTGGCGAGCTGTCCAGGGTGGACTCCGCCTCTTGCCCAGTGTCAGCTGGGATTGGCTCCACGACACTATTCAGGAATAAGCGGTATAGATAATGGATGGACAGATGGACATATAGATAATAAAACAGTGAAAAACATAAATATACTGTTATAGCCACCTGGTATCACTGGACCATGCTCTGCACCCAGGTAATGCCTGAGGCAGTTTCACCTGCCGAAGAAGACAAGGTCAAACTACTGAAAGCTCCAGAATTATTTAATTAAATGGAGCTTGTGCTAAAAGTTTTACCACATATGTGTCCTCAAGGTTGAGAATGAACCTCAATACGTTAATTCATCTATCTACAACAAGATACAGGGTCAAGAAAATTATGTTGTTTGTTTATTTGAATGAAAAACAGACATTTTGGAGACAGATAGCTTTAACTGGGCAGTCTGGGTGTCACAGTGGTGCAGTGGTTAGTGCTGTTCATGCTGTGGGAGCATCAGTGTGTTTGCAGCACTGCCTTCTGTCCTCAGCAGGTGGGATGCAGCTCAATAAAACCTGCTCATATTAAAATCTGAGACCTGACACCTTCATGTAGAACAAGTGTCTTGTTTCTAACTGCAGAAGCAAAGAACAGGATGTGCAAATACGTACAGTCTAGACTGTAAATACATGTACTGTACAGTTTTTTTCTAAATCTGCTTGAGGCAAGAAGCCTCTTATTTTTGATTTAGCTCTTAAATGATAAAAAGAAGACTTGGTGATGTTGAAACACTTGGTCCGAATCAGTGATGACAACCAGGGTAACACGCCCGCAGGTGTAAAAGGTTCAGGTCAGTGGTACTGACTCATAACCAGAGTTGTAACCACTGACACCTTCTGAGCGTTTCCCTGCAAGGTTAGATGGCATCATGAGGTGGAGGGGAAATCCCTGCGTGTGATTGGTGCAGGAGCTGGGGAGCAGAATGATGTCAGAGTGATGTCACAGGAATAACACTACAGTTGTTCCACAAAAAAGTCTTTCTTTCTTTTTCTTTCTTTCCTTCCCTCTTTTAATTTTCTCTCCTCACGTGTACAGAGATTGTTTTTGTGTTTTTTGCGTGTTGTCAGTCAGAAACAATCTATGTTGTGTGATACACTATAGCACTTTTTACATATTTAACCCTAAACATGACATCTTTAACTGAACAGTTAATTAGAAAAGGTGTTTATTAGCTTAATTAAATGGCCAAAACTATGTGACACGCCTACCAACTTTTTGTCTGGGGTCTTATGTTGTTCCAGTGACAGGAAATATTAACACATTTGCATAAAATGATATTTCTAGAGGAGTGGACAGGACGGCCCAAGATGATGAGCCAGACAAAAACAACTCTTGCCCCAGCCTTTTAACACATTCAAAACTTCAACACACAGTTGCATTTAACATTTTCTTTGGTAAATGTTTACTAGTTTCACTTCTTCAGCCCTCTGAAAATTATTCAAATGTAAAAAAATCTTGGAGGGTAAAGTCACTTTTTCGTGGAACACTGGCAACATTAAATATTTAAACATCTGCATGGCCCACAGGCTCAGAACTTTTTAACCTTAACTACACCGCTCTACTAAAAAGATAGAAGATTATTTCAAATGCTGGTCTGACCTCCCACTGTCACTCATTGGCCGAATTGCCACAGCCAACATTAAAACTTTACTACCTACCTGTTTTCAATGCTTCTGACAACACCAACAGATAAATGGTTCAAATCACTTGATTCTCTAACTTCGCAATTTTACTGGAATAATAAGAAACCCCAAATTTCCCTGTCAACACTTCAGAAGAACAAATCACAAGGTGGCCTAGAAGCACCAAATTTTGAGTTTTATTTTTTAGGATAAGGATAATCATCTTTATTGGCCAAGTATGTTACACACACAAGGAATTTGTTTCCGGTACAGAACCAATGGCAGCCACCTCAACCGATGGCTCTAACCATCAGAGGCAATGGGGGGTTCAGTGTCTTGCCCAAGGACACTTCAACACATGGACTGCCGGCACCAAGATTTGAACTGTCAACCTTCTGGTTGGAAATGACTGTTCTACCACTGCACCACTGTTGCCTGTAGCAAAGCAACTACAATATTTAGTTAAATAGATTCAGAAGGACAGTTGTAATAGCTCATGGATAGAACTGGAACAAAATCAATGCAAAAATACTTCAGTTGCAGACCTTGCCTTCCTACCATACTCAATTAAGAAAATGAACTATTTCAAAAATATCACAATCTCTACAACTCTGACAGCCTGGTGGAAAGCAAACAAAGCCACTAAATCATCAACACCATGTAGATACACTCCAATTTGGCACAACCCTGACTTTAAACTTCATAATAATCTCATTTACTTTCCAACATAGCAACACAAAGAAATCACTCACCTTCAACATCTATTTGAAAACAACCGGTTTATACCATTTACTACATTAGTCCGGAAGTCCAATTTGGCACAACCCTGACTTTAAACTTCATAATAATCTCATTTACTTTCCAACATAGCAACACAAAGAAATCACTCACCTTCAACATCTATTTGAAAACAACCGGTTTATACCATTTACTACATTAGTCCGGAAGAATTAAATCAAAGACCAATATAATCAACAACACCCTGCAACCTTCCATGCTAGCTGAGGAGATAATGAAATTCACAAACTCAAAGAAGCTAATATCCAAACTTTATAAACTAATGTCAAGTACAGATAAAACAATAACAATACCAGTGACCAAATGGGAAACGGATTTATCTCTCTCCCTCAGCCCTGATTTCTGGACCAAGATTTGTAATAATATCTTTTCCATGACTACCAATATAAACTTACAGCTTATACAATACAAGACTATTCACAGGACTCACATCACACAAGGTAAAATGTTTAAAATGGGTTTCATTGATACAAATACCTGCTCACAATGCACTCTGGATAGCGCCGATGATTACCTTCATGCTACTTGGACCTGTCAACCCGTTTACTCCCTCTGGGTAGTGGTGACTGAGAAACTCTCCACCATCTTGAGCTCTAGAATCCCCCCATCCCCGTCACTCTGCCTGCTCAGTAATGTCACAGAAGTTGACCACCTACCAATTAAATATAAAAGCCCAGTTCTTATCTCACTAACGATTGCCAAGAAAACAATCTTTCTAAACTGGAAATCTAAAAATTCATTACACATCAACCAGTGGACCAACCTTCTTATAAAATATATCACACTAGAGAAAATATCATCCACCCATAAGAATAATAAACCAACCGTCATTGACACTTGGAATCCATTTCTAATCTCTTTTAACTTAAACCAGATACCTGAGGCCGAGGCCACGCACATTCCCACAAACTCCTAGAAATATAACAAGCTGCTTTTTACTTCATTATGGTTACTGTTATTAGTCCTCATTGTCCAGGGTTCTGTTTTGAGTCTCACACCTATCAAACCAAATTAAATGAGATTACCTACCCCCCCGCCTTTTTTTCCTCTGCCCTCTCTTTCTAATCATTTACCAATCTGTTACTTTCATTTATTTTTGTTTTATTATTTTATTACTACAATCATTCATTTTTCATCAAACTGTCTTTTCATTCCTTTACATTTATACCCCCTCCATTTTCCTAATTTATTTGGTTTAATTCTGTTTTCCCTTAAGTAATGAATATCAGCCTGCAGAGTTGGATACACACATACTACACACTTTCACACACACAACTTAATACCCTCAATTAATAATCCCTTTGCCTCTTTTGTTAATGTCTCTTGTCTCATGTACTATGTTATGTGCTTTGTCCTATAAATGTGTTTTGTGTTGCAATAAATAAAAAGAAATCTTGAGGGTAACAGTTAATACTTGAGGCAACAATCTGAAGACAGGCAATAGGAAGTACTGTATGATATCTGAATATGTTTTTCTACTCAGTATTCCTGTGTTGCCCCTGATGAAGGTGTAAAATGCACAGTCCTCCTCCTTCAAATGATCAACACTTTGGAGACCTCACCAAGGGAAGTCTGCAGCTGCTGCAGCTGGTTTCACAAAGACAGGTTTGAAACATTAGACCAGTCAGAATTTAGATTTGTCCCCCCATCCATTATGTGTATGGCTTATCCCAAGGGGGGGTTGCAGGGGGGCTGGAGCCAAACCCAGTTGACACTAGGTGAGAGGGGGGGTCCACCCTGGACAGGTTGCCAGTCTATCCCAGGGCTGACATGTAGAAGGACAACTACACTCACTGCTCTCCACCTGAGCTGGCTGAGTGGGAGCAAATGTCTGATGGAAAGACTGAAGCCAGAAGAGCGGCCGCTGCAGATTAATACCTGTTAGCAGCATCCCTTGTGCAGCAAACACATATGGGTGTAATATTCCACTGTCCACATACCTTAGGCCACATAGGGTGTGTTTCTGATTTAAACAGTAGGACAGGTCCCCCACTGTCTCTAGCATGTGTCTCATTTCAGTTTATATAATTAAATTTTCTCTTTCTTTAGAGGTTCCATGACATTCATCATCATCATGAAGCATTTCAAATTACATATGAAACCACTAAACATCAGCCAGTGTGAAACCGGCAGCGTGCCGATCACCACTGAAAACTCCAGGCTGGAGCCAGTTACCGTAGCATTTCCCTGTTTGAAAGCTGAGCACAGCTTAATATGTACAGACTTCGTAGTACGCCTTGTATAAAGGGAAGGAGAAAATAAGCTTTTCGGTTGGTGCTGATTTCTGCTTTTATTCAAACTAATTTCAGTTTTAAAATGACAAGAAAAATAAATTAAGATAAATTAATCATAAATAAAATGTATTAAATTAAAATAAATACAACAGAGTTAATTGGAGAACTGGAGTGAGAAATAAAATAAATGTGCAACTGTAATAAGATGTCGACATGGAAGCTTCATCCACCTGAAGCCAGTTGTAAATAAAAACAATATCTGACAAAAAAAAGTTACATTTCCTAATGAAGTTAAACACAGGAAAATCAACTAAATTAGATTAGCTAATGAGAAGGATTAGTTGCCATGGAAACCGATTCCCAGCACCTTGCTTCATCTTGATTAACGGGTGGAGCCACAGCCGCGGGACGCCACCACAGCAGCAGCTTGGTAGACCTCTCTGAACTGAGCCAGAGCCTTTCTCTGATCGACAGGGTCGTCCACCTGCAGAGACAAGGAAACAGCTCAGTTCCTGTTTATTTGTCAATTAAAAATGTCTTAAAAACACACACAAACAGGTCACGGCTGTCCTCGCTATAGAAGTAACACAAAAGGAGATAGCTAGACTTTTAAAGACAGTTTGGATCATTTCAACTCTTCAGGTGACACAATCATAGAAGAAGAATTTGCCTGTCAGACATGAAACTTGTAATGATGATGATTCTTACAAACCGAAGAAGTTGTGAATCATAGAAATTGTATGCTTCCAGCTTTTTGTGGCTTCATTGAGGTATAAATAAAACACAGACCCTGCATGAAAAGGGTTACATTTCAGGTGTGTGAAGGAGCTTTCTACATTCTTGTGGAAGACTTTATCTCACTTATATCAAATAGTAATACATTTATGCATTAGTTAAATAAACCTGGTAGTAAAACCTCAATTTACAGCTGTTGTGATTTTTAATTAATAACCATTCCATGGAACTAGACTTTGTTTTCCACCTCCACCGTCACATGTTCCTCGCATTTCACATTCTTCTCCATTGCTCAGTTTATATTTAATTTGTGTTTATGTCCCATTTCACTGTCATGCTCGTCTCTAGATCTTTACTTTATTTAATTTTATTTCATTCTGCTCTGCTTTTATTCTTATTGTTCTGAGCTGTGATGCCTGCTGATAAAGGAGACTGATTCAGAACAATTTGACAGTTTACTCCCAAAATCTTAAATTGGAACAGAAATTACATTTAAACCATCAACAACATGAAGACAGGCCTGTCTCTGAACATCTGACTGATGAGAGCACCCTGGTTTGGTTTCTGTGGCCTTTCTGCAGAAATGGAAGCTCTCACTACGATCTCTGTTTTACTTCTGAGAGGTGTAGTTTCCACTACAGTGTGTCAGCGTGTAGTACTAAATGTTGAGCTGTGTTTCACCTACATCTGTTTATTCTGAAGCATACTGTTCAGATTTGACAGCTGAATAAACACCCGACTCTTTCAAGGGATTGGTTTGGTGTTTTCGTTAATGTCATCACATCTCATGAAAATGTGTGACTTCTCTACTTAGGTCAAATACTTTATGTAAAAGTACTTTTAAAAAGGTTAGAACAACGATACATTTAATCAAACAAACAGGAGGAAATAGTGCATTTGTCGGGGGCTAGTTTCAGCGGTATCGCCCAGTGCGATGCTGTGTCGTCCATATTGTTTGCACTTTGAGCTTCTAAACAGTTTAGCACTGACACATTATGGGCTGACATGTTTGCTGTTTGTACAACTTTTGATGCTTTTTCTTGAGTCAAACTTTGTTCATATTAAATCGTTTTAACCTTTGCACCCATCAGAAACCAGTATATTTCCAGACTCTGCAGCTACATTCTGAAACATCTGAGATCAGTTACAGTCAACATAAGTGAAAGACGTGTCCATTACCATGATTTTTTTCAGGTCACTGAGCACATTCTCCTGGTCAAGGTTCTGGTGGTCCAGGCGGCCCAGGTGCTTCTTCAGCTTCTCCATCTTGTCCCGGAGCTCGGTCAGAGCCGACACCACCTGAGACTTTTTGGGTTCTTTCAGCTGGTCCAGCAGAGCTGGGACATGGGTCCTGTCATGGTGCTGGTGGTGGCTGTGCTGCAGGATGCTAGAGAAGATGTGTGTGTAGATGTCCAGAGTGGCATTCATCAGCTGTACTTGTTCTTTTCTCTGTGGAGAGGAAGAGATGCTTGGGAGTTGGTACATAGGAGGCTATAATAATAATAATTTATAAGACCTTTATTGTAACAGTGAACAGAATTTGAGTGACTCTTGCACAACATAATGATCCATAACCACAGATGGACTATGAGGCAATGGGCCTGTGGACACAGACATGTAGAAGGCCTTGACCTCTCCTTCATTTCTAGACTCACAAATTGAGCAACCACAGATTTATGTCTCCGGTTTGTGTCTTCTTGTGGTTGTTCTGCATCTCTTTTCGGACATTTTGTGTCAAGTTTTACTCATTTTGCACCTTTTTTGTCTATTTTTTTTGTCAGTTTGCATCTCTTTGTGGTTGTCTCGTTTTAGTGTTTTTGTACTCTTTGTCATTGTTTGGCATCTATATATTTTTCTTGTTTTGTGGCTTTTTGTAGCCATTTTATTGACTTTTTTCACAGTTTTCCGGGGTAGGTCCCCCTGAATCATTGAGTCCCTGAGCCTGTGCCCAGTGAGGGTTAACACCCAAAGTGAGCCAATAGGACCCCTCGGTACCAGATAGTTCAGTCGCATTTGGGTTTGGGTCGGGATCGACTACGTAATCCAAACAGGTGTAATTGCACTTGTAAATATTTGACTTGTAAATTAATCCATGCTTCTTTTTTAGTCTAATTTAAAGTGCTAGGCCTATTATAAATTAAAACGATGAGCCAGTTAAGCGCATGACAACTCTATCCATGATATCAGATGCACAAAGGCCATAGAAAAACACCACACAAACTCAGCTGTGTCGGACTTGGGTCAGGTTTGGACAGAAATATAGAGCCCGATCCGTACTCTAATCTATCCCTGTTCATAACTTTTGGCAGCTTTTCCTTTAATATCTCAGGGTTTATAAAACTACTGTGCACATTTCAAAAATCAATGAGGATTCCTGCTACATGGTAATACTGGATTATTATATGACTTTTGAAAAAATGTGATGAAGACTCTTAAACTTTCAATTATCAAATTTTCTGGATTAGGCATAAAAAAAGCATTTTTGTTTCGCCATTTCCCTTGTAACAGTTTCTCAACCGATTTTCCATATTTTGGATATGATATTAATTTTCCCTGTGCATGATTCTTCGTGGCATCATTAATCATCTTGATGTCACAGAATACACAAAGCTTTTTCAGTTTATTTTAGCAGGGATTCACAGTGTCACTGTCTGATGAAAACCAGGTACATATCGCCACAAAATTAACTTTTCACAGCCATTACAGAAAACCTAATCCTTCAGTTTTACTAAAAACTCAATCACAACATTGAAAATATGTGGGCTTTGGTACAGTAGAGTGACAATAGATGCATAGTGTGTTGTATTTACCTGGCAGGAGGTGCTGATGCTCCTGATGACAGATCTGAAGAGAGGATTGCTGCCAATCTCTGGCTCCTTCAGCTCCTAAAACACACACAAAAAAAATCCTGTCTTAACATTTCTATTTCTCTTCACATATTAACAAGCACAACATAAACAGATACAAACATGGCTGTTGAATTCGGACGTTCTGAGTACCTACTGACCTGAACTATGTCTGTAGCAGCAATGAGCACTTTTATCTTTGGTCTCCCTTTCCTATTGTTTTCATTTTATTTGAGGAAACATTAGCATGAAAAGCTAATTTTGACATGTGGTCCCAGCGGATGTTAAAAAGATGCTCTAAAAAGACCAAAGGTTCCTGTACAGGTATTTGTACAAAGATTTTAGATATCTGGCTTCTTATGAAAAATGATTGTTGAATAATACATTCATACATAAAAGTGAATCACAGGTATCTTAACGCCACCAAAAACATAAAAGTTTTTAAATAATTCCCTGTGTAGTTTGTAATACCTCGTCAAAATAAGCACACTTTGTCAATTCCATACACAGTTATCATTCAGAAATTATGTACATGGTTAAAAGTGGTCATCATCTGGTTTTACAAGCATGAAAATAAAAGAAAAAGCAGCAGAGTGTAAACATCAGTTTAAAATATCTTGAAACACCTTAACCACTTCTCACTCCTTAATATGAACACGCATGTCAGATTCAGTATAATCTTGAATGAAAGCTTCCTTAGATAAACTTTAATTTTAGGGATTAAATCTTTTAATCACAAGCAGAGGCTAAGATGCAAAAAAAAACAATAAAGGATCTAAAATCATGCCCTGTGGGATGCCACAGATAAACTCACCAGCAGATCTGCAATGGAGTCATGGGTTTGTATCAGGGAATCTGAGACGAACTGGACAGGACTTCCAAATGCCAACACAACTCCCAGTAAGACCAGTAGACACACTGAACCACAGCACGAAGACATAATGAACTTCAGTAAAAACTACTGTAGACTGTACTGTGAAAGGTCTTCTCAACAAAAGGCTGAGACAGTTTTGGCGTACCGTCTAGTCACTGATACTATCTTTTGACCTGTGGGTCTATATATACAGCTGTCTGTATCCCTGTACGTCTCAGTCTGCGCCTGCGAGTATGTGGGGTTGTGCATCTCTGTGGTCTGTGGGCTTTCAGCTGCAGCACCAGAAACAGCAGCATCGACAACAATTTTCCTCTAAAACTCACTCTGCTGCTGCTAAAAACACACACAAAGGAGACTCCCTGGTCAGGTTTCCATTCACATCCATCCACTGAGCATATACGCATGCAGAGTGAGGAGACTCCCTGGTCAGAGCGGTTTAACTGGAGGAAGCCCAGTTCTTCAAAAAAAATTACCTAGAAATCTGTGTGTAGCTGTGCACACTAAGCTAATGCATGGTTAACTAGTTGTGCCAGTAACATCAGTGTGTGTGTGTGTGTGTGTGTGAGAGAGAGAGAGACTGGTTGCATAAAACCTCATATACTGCACTGTAACTTCATGAAACTTTACAGCTCTTTAGGTTGTGAGTGTATTTTGTATGCAAGCTTGCATGTGTGTTGGCAGTTTATTTAGCGGTCTGAAAATATCTTAAATTTTTTTACAAGTAACGGGCCTAAATGAGCATCTTATATTAACCATATTTCCCACCTCATTTTAACTATGATTACTGAATTTTCTATAGTTAAATTTAGCTGTGATTTAATCACTTAGCTAGTGGGTTTTATTTTACTTTACATTTTGTAAAGCAAATATCTCTGGGTTTTGGCCAAACAAAACAAGTGCCCGGGGGCTCTGGGAAACTGAGAGGTGTCTTTCATTATTTAAAAAAAAAAAAAAAGTAATTCTTTTGGGCATCTCTCCTTTATTAAGTACATATACCTGAAAGTAGGTCACCAAGAGGTGGACAGGAAATAGGGCCGACAGGTGGGGAGACCTGCAACATACTTTAGTGTGTGCACGCCAGTGGCGTGCCACACTGTTCCTGGTATGTGGTGTGCTGCACCTTAATCATTCAGCTACCAGGGCACATGTTCTTCACTATTTTATGACATCTTATTGATCAAGGATTTACTTGATTAAACACAAAAAAGAAAAAAATGACATCAAATAATGAAAACAATTGTCAGTTGAGGCTGTAAAAATCAGTTTCTAATCTGTATGTAGAATTTAATTTGGCACAACAACCTCAGTAGAGTCACCTGTACCCAACAACTATAGCTACTATTAATAAAGGAAATGACTAGGTGTCACTTCAGATGCGTGGAGCTTTTAGCTAAAAACTTGGCAAACAGAACTCTACTGTATCGAGAATTAGTGGGATCCTTTTGACTTTGACTTGCTTTCAGTTTTGGTCTGAGAGGATTTGTCCCTTAAACATAAAACTCTTCAAGTATTGTAAGGATTCAGATTCTTGCCAATACTTGCCCCTTGCATGGGGATATGTACATACGCACATACGCATTGAGAGCCGATGTACCAGAGTCAAATTCCTTGTGTGTCCGACACACCTGGCCAATAAAGCTGATTCTGATTCTTTATACACATAAACTTTGCAATATCCTAAGATAAGCATAGTGAGTTCTACATTTAAGTCTAAAAGCATCATCAGCAACATCCACTTCAATTATCAAAAGTGGAGTTTCACTCATCCACCAGAAAGGCTCCAACTCATGCGGTAATAATTTAGTTAGTGCCAATGTAGTAATTTTAGTGTTGGAGCTAGTAGACAGGTTATATGAGCTACTTTATACAATAGTGTCAGTTTACAGCAATGCAATGCAGAATCAGAATCTGCTTTATTAGCCAGGTGTGTCACACACACACAAGGAATTTGACTCTGTACACCTTATTATCTAACCATTAAGCATGTTTTGGATGTAGGATGTTAATTTGCTAAGTAACTGTTGCCACCGTCTACATGTAGTGCAGTAAAAAGTACAATATTTCCACCTGAAATTCAGTGAGTAGAAGTGAAAATGGCAGGAATAACGAGGTTAAGGTACTATATGGATGACAACGACTTATGCTGAGGGTGCCAGGTTGATAAGACTGCTAACAAAGCTTCCCCCTAACTATCGAGACAGCTTTGCTGAGTATTGCATCACACATGGCATTATACGAGATGGTAGCAGTAGGAATTACACCCTGTATGATTTCTGAATGGTTAGAGCGCAAGTCACAGGTTCTACGGTTGTCAAGACAAGCTACTCAGCTGCACATTCAGGATAAACCACACCCTAAGAGGAGGGATATCAGAACATCAGAGTTAAAGTCTCACAGTAAGTCCACCTTTATTTATTATGACCCAGATCTCATCTCCAACCAAGGCAGACAGGAAAATTGCTACCTCAAAACCTTCAGCTCTCCCCAAAAGGAGACAACAGTTCAAGCCATATTTCCCATATTGTGAAGGGACAGAGCACTACCTGAGTGGCTGCAATGTTGGCACTGTAGATGTAAACATTCAGCTGACCTCTGTACTTGGTGGAAACACTGCAGCACCTGTGGAGACCAACATTTACTGGTGCTTCATGACCTAGTAGAAGTTGTAAAGCAGAACCCCAGCATCCTTACTGTAAATGTCAACATGATTTACTTTGGCCATTCAAGTCATTCCAGTCAAGTAATGCTCAAGGTCATTCCATTTAAGCTACAACATAGCACAAAGACATTGGACACCTTAAACCCAGGTTTTCACAGCTGAACAACTTGTACTAGTGGAGCAGTCCAGTGGAGCTTCTGAAAGAGAAGTACTAGCACCTATGACCTGTTGCTATTACAGGATTCAAACAAGTGTTGCCTATGGTTCTGACTGACTGTATCTAATCACACCTGACCATTCAGTGCAGCGGGGGCCACTTCAAAGGCACAGTAGGTGAAGAAAGAGGTCACCCACTCTAAGGAGGATGAAGAGGCCATTGCAACGAGGGAAGCAAAGACCATCAGTATAGGTGGAGTAGAGCGGCACGCCATGTAATTCACCAAAATAACAAGGCCAGAGAGGTGTTTAACTGTTTCTATCGTTGCCAAAGAACCGTCCTCAATCACCACCTCTTGCCAGGACCCACTCTGGGCCCCACATTGTTAGGTGTGCTGCTCCACTTCCGGCAGTATCCTGTAGCAGTCAGCAGAGATAAAAAGGCTATGTTTCATCAAGTTCGCTTGCTACCTGAGGATCAGCCCCTGTTACAGTTTTTGTGGAGATACAGGAGGACAGATTGGCCCCCTGACTTGTATGAGTGGCAGGTGATCCTGTTTGGGACTACCTGCAGTCCTTGCTGCACCATCTACACCATCCAAAGACACATCAAGGAGTAGAAGAACATCTACCCAGACATCCATGAATCAGTGCACAGCACCTTTATGTGGCCAATTGTCTGCAGTCCCTCACAGATCCACAGGAGACAAGGGAGCTCATCGACAAGATGAGGGAGCTTCTCACCAAACGAGACTTTGAGATCCAAAAGTGGACGAGCTATGTCCCAGAAGTGGATGCATTGCTAGGTCAGATAGCTGTGAACAGATAGCCTTGCAAGAGCAGTTAACAAAAAAAGAGCATTAAACATCCACTTTAACCCATTGCATGCTCCTCATTTCAGAAGGGCTTGGGAAAGGGAAATACAGTCTGTTAAATCATCCTCAAGGATCAAGTCATTCCAGAGGAAATGTTGCTAACTTACCTCATAGAGATGGAGGGTAATCTAAACTCCAAACCTGTGGAATGTGTTTCAGTGGATGTGGCAGATCCAGACCCTACTACCCCAAATCATTTATTGATATGGTGACAAGGTGCCTCACTTGGTCAGGCAGTGTATGGGCCCAGAACTCCTTTACCAAAAAAACAGTGGAGGCATAGCCAGGTCACTGCTGAGGATTTTTGGAGTCAGTTCATCTGGAGTTATGTCCTTACTCCGCAACTTTGACAGAAGTGTGTTATGGTTGAGTCCCCCTTACAAGGGGGGTGAGGGAGAACTGCGGTTGGACTTAAGTGTGCTGACCCAGGTGCTAGTAGAAAAACAGAGGTTTAATGGAACAAAACACAAAGTAA